AAGTCCCTAAATTAAAACAGTATAGTATTGGTGCACAGATAATCCAGTGGGATACAACTAAAAGCTCAGAAATAGATCCAAGTTTGTATGGATATATATAAAGGTAGTATCTCAACTCACTGAGCTGAGTGGTACCAGGTCAGCTTGGTGGCCGTATAACTGTGTCGACCAGGAATAAGCTGAAGAATTTTTACGTACATTGTGGCAGGCAGAGTAATGTAAATACATGTTTTTCCTCTGTGGAACTTCAGGATAATGATGCTGTGGTAATTTCTGGTAGTTCTAGCACATCAGTAGTCATTTCTGTAATTCTTACAATTATGATGCATACTTTGTGTACTCTTATCCCATCTTTAACATGTCTTTCACCCCCTAAGTATTTTCTCTCATTTGGGAGAAATAGTAGAATATAAAAGAATATAAAGTATAAAGATATTTTGTGAAGTATTGTACTAAAATAAATATTTGGAATCAGAGCCTTTGTTCATTGTGAAAAGTCTTTCTGAACATAAACCATCAAGAATACTTCTTATCGCCATGGCTGGTGTAGCTCAGTGGATTGAGCACGGGCCTGTGAAGCAAAGGGATGCTGGTTAGATTCCCAGTCAGGGCACATGCCTGTGTTGCAGGCCAGGTCCCCAGTAGGGACACATGAGAGGCAACCACACATTGATGTTTCTCTCCCAATCTTTCTCCTTCCCTTCACCTCTCTCTAAAAATAAATAGATAAAATATTTTTTAAAAAAGGATACTTCTTATCTCATTACTTTCACCATACTTACTGATTCTTGTCATTATTGTGTTTTGATAGTACATAAAGTACTTTCATTTTTGTTTTATTTATTATGTTATCTTGTTTTCTTTAAGATACAGAGAAATCTATTCATTTGGAAAGTTGATTTTTAAGTGGGTTATTTTGGATCTTAGAACTCATTTTCCCTTACAGAAATAGGTACTAATTACATTCACAGGGCAGCCATAGACTATTTAATGCATCTGGTGAAATACAGCGACTGTTCATGAAAACGTGTAGAACACTAGTAAGTAAGCAAAACAAGAACAGTGAAACTGAATAAGAAACAGTTTATTTCATACTTGAAGAAAATAGGAGAATGAAAAGTATTGACACAGGGATCATACAGTACTGTGCTCTATATTTTTAAGGGCTGTAAATATTGATTTGTAGTCTTTAAATAATTTTAAACATACTAAAAAGTATTGAGAATAATACAATAAACAACCAAATGCCATCACCCAGCTCAATATTTTGCTTCAGAAACTTTTTTAAATGAATGAAACATGGCATTTTTAGGATAATGTTGATTTTTACTTTGAAGTTTATAGCTCTTATACTGCTTGGTAGAGGTTTGGGTCATTTTGCCACTTGCAAGCATAGAGAGAAGGAACTAAAGACGCTGTCCCAGAGGTGACTAGGGTGGTTTGTGAGAGAGCAGAGGGGTTGTAGAGAATATGTAGTGATATATGCTTCTTTGGAACTGAGTGAGTCACATCCTTGAGAAAGCAGAAGAAGATGAAATGGAATTATGTATATGTATGTATATATAATCTTCAGAATTAGGATGGATGTCAGAATTAGGTAGATGGTGTTGGGAAATTGGGCAAAAGAATGAAGATGTCTTTTGCATTTGGCCGAAAACCATATTTAATTAGGTAGGGCATCTATAAATTATGTGTTCATTGGAAATACATTCTCTATATTTTGCATTTTAAAAAAATTTTTGGAGGTTTTAAGATGATTGGTGATATTAAAGAAAGACCACAGAAAAATACCTACTTACAACTCTACTAGAAAAGCAATAGGAAACTAATAAAAGCAGTATAGTTATGAAAGTTAACATAAGAAATCATTTCTTTCTGTTACACTGCCTGCTCATTGGTACCTATGGTTGTAAACAAACCCACAGCAACAGTGCACTCTTAGACCAGCCGAGCCGTGACACTTCGCGAGCAGCTCTTATGGCTGAATGTGCCGCGCATGCTTTTTGTGCTTTCCCTGCTTGTTCGTCAGACTCTGTCTCCTCTGATCCCTGATTGCCAGGCCCCTCTGCTCACACGTAACATCACTCTTTTGGCCAACAAGTGTTTATGGAACAGTTCCTTGTCTTTGGCACGGGGCTGGGCGCTTAGCATCCCGAGATGTATAAACTTGATTTCTACTCAAAAAACCCAGTATCATTTGACCTTCTCTTCTCTTAGCCTGTCCCAGCTATTGAATTTTAATTCAACATTTTCATTTTAAGTAGTGCAGTGTTAGGTTTTTCTGACAACCTAAGTTCTCCCTGGCATTTGACTTTGTTCTATACTTTGTTCTTGGCTTTTTGATTTTTCTGTCGATGCTAATCAAAGGAATCCATGCTTCTATAGGACAAAAGATAAAATTGTCACTGTTTATATGATAAAGAATACACAGGGAATGAAACCAGTCGTGTGTTTATTTACTTTGAGGACTTGCTGATAATGCCTCAGAATCCAACTTTTTAAATACGGTATTTTAAACTTACTCTTTGAGTGGGTATTGTAGTTTGTAGTTCAGAAGGTACCATTTAACAGTGCAGAAGGGTTCCATCCCACTTTTGCTCCTCGGTGATCTGGGTCCTTCCCCAGAGCCAACCGCTGCTAACTGTCCTGGCGAATCCTGAAAACAGTGTGGCAGTGTCGCGTTGACACTGAGTACTGGAGAAGGACATGCAGTCTGCTCTGGCTGGGTGCATTCTACCATTTTAAAGATTCCTTTTAATTCAGCATTTTGGTCACTATAAACTCTTGGCTATTTTCCAGTTTCCCATAGTTGATTCTGATGGTTTTTACTCATTTTTTTAAGTTTCTCTGTGGAGGGACAGACCTTCAGAACTACCTGTCCCATCATTTTTGTTGCTATGACTCTCAGCAATTACTTTTTAAAACAAATATTTTATAATGTTATTTAGTATCCTGAAATAAAATTTATAGGTAGTATAACTTAATACACACAGTAGTTTTTTAAAAATTAATATAACACATTAATTGTAATATAAAGGAGAAATGAAGTAATTCATTAAAAAGTAGTATGTATTTCACTGTGTAAACATCACATACGATATTGGAAGGCATAATGAAGTAGTGATGTGTTTGTACCTATTCAAGTATAAGTTAGATTTAAGAGGTGTAAAAAGGTCAGATTCCATTTTGTACAAATCCAAGTAATGAAAGGCTAAAATCTAGCCATAAAAGCTAGAATTTTTTATATGTACAGGAAGAGAGAAGTTGGAATAAAACCCCAGTACAAATTATAGACTAAAAAGGTGAAAGAAAGGAGAAAATATAACATTTGTATGAATGGGGCCTTATTTGAAATATAATTATTTAGTAAATAGTAAAGAAATATCAGAGAACATATCTTTATTTTGAAGTCCTAATATGTCAAGTCAAATCATTCAGTCTTGAATATTTAAGTCCTTGGAAACAATATTTTTTTTAGCAATAACGGGATTTTAAAGATGGATTTTGAAAAGGAACAATAGTACAATTGAAACATATAATTTTATTAATGTCACCCCAATAAATTTAATTTATGAAAACACTGATGAATATTTGAAAAAAATCTAAAATTTGGTACATTTAATATCATTATATTATCATTATTAAAAAAAGCAATGAAAGAACATTTAAAACCAATATCAAAGTAGATTTGAAAAATAATAGCCAATTATAAAATAAGTAAATGATTCCAGTTGGTAATTTTTACACTGGATTTCTCACTAATACATGTGCATGTCTGTGTATGATATGCAGTGTTTTTAAAACAACCAGTGGAGCTAAATATGATACCTTCGTTTCATGTGTTTCTATAATTACTGTATTTTTAGGACTATAAGATGCACTGGACCATAAGACACACCTAGGTTTTAGAGGGGGGAAATTTTTTGAAGCAAAAAATGTGGTAAAATGTTTAATAACATGAATAACATAATATTTCATCAATGTAAATATAAATAACCTACATTACTAGCCAGGTAACGTACCACTTAGGTAAGCTACATTCAGACTATAAGACACACCCCCTGTCTTCCCAAACGGGGCGGGGGAGGGGGGGGGCGCATCTTATAGTCTGAAAATACGGTAAGTGTTTGGTCCTAACTTCCTTAAAAGGAGTCTTACATCCTCTATTGCGTATTTAAAGTGGACTTTTATTTATAGTAAGTGTACCATTACAGTAAAACACTTTCAAATAAGTACACAATTGGAAATACAATAGTAAATTAGCTGGCTTCTTTCCAAAAAAAAATTGGTATAATAGTTATAACTTGATGCAGGAACTTTCTTTACTTTTAAATTGTGTTTGAGCTTTAGTTTAACCGTTACAAATGTTGGTTAGCTTGTTTGCTACCCATTTCAAATGGAATTATCACTTGATCTATATTGTAAGTTCATAAAGATTTTTAAATCTAATTACTTATCATGTATTTTAAAGGTAGGGTCCTGCTCTTACCTCCTACTAGTAGTAACAATTAAATGAAATAATGTGTTTAAAAGTTTATAATGTATTTATAAAGATCTGTATTAAGAGCATTATTATTCATAGTAATAACAGTTCTAGAGGCTATTCCCTTAAGAAAATTAAATCTTAAAAATGGGTCAGAATTTTAAGAGATTCTATAATTATTCACATTTAAAATTTTTAATTAATATCTTTTGCCTTGGTTTGACCCTGAGTCAGAATCACTTTTTAGGAAGAAAGGTTATTTTGTGACAAAAGTACTTTTTCATTTGGTTGTTGTATGTTTGGAAAATATGGAGCAAACTTCCTTGACCTAATAAGCACTTCGCAGGCAGCCATTTTCCTCTTAGGTGTGTGCTGAGGACTGCCCTTGCATTTATGAGAGTGACCTGGCCGCCCGGTGTTTAATTGCGTTATGATTTTTAGTTGTGGCATGTATGTGAGTGTGAAAAGTGATCAAAGCATGTAATAGCTTTTTGTGGTTTGTGGTTTTCATTTGCAGCCTTCAAGCAAAATAAAGGTACCTGAGGAGAATTTCTTCAATGTTCCTGCTTTCTTAACTGTCTCGGGACAACTTCACCTAGAAGTGATGTCAGGGTACAGAATTTTCTTTTCTCTTTTGCTTTAATGTACTACTGATTATGGGTTGAGTTGGGAGTAAAATAACGCTTCCTTTCCCAATGCTAAAGCCTAAAAATTGAGATTTGTGTTTAATATTAGTCCATTTGGATTCATCAAAAGTATATTTAGATTGACATGATCTTATTTTATAAAAATCACATTAGTCTGGACTTCTTAGTGAAAAATGTAACACTGGAAATGTGAAACTACAGTTTTTTTCATTTTACTATATTTTTAATAATGAAAATTTAAGTATAATTAATCATGTTATCAAAATAAAGTTATAGTTCACATCTGAACCAGGAATTAGCCCATTTCATTTTTTTAAAAAAAGGTACTCAAAACAAACAGAAGAAAAATATTTTAAATGATTGGTTTACATGAAGAAAATTAACCAACAATGAGAGACATGTGACAGACTAGAAAGTCCTAGAAGTCAAATCACATTAATTTTAGTGACTCTTAAGTCTCTGGAAAGTCTCTATACCCCTTTCAGCCCAGGTTTCTTTTTCTTTCCCTTTTTTTTTCTTTTATTTATTGATGTGAGAGAGAGAAGACTTCATTGTTCCACTTATCTATGCATTCATGCTGGTTTCTTGTATGTGCCCTGACCCTGGATAAACCACTCGGCATATCGGGGCAGCCCTCTAATCATCTGAGGTAGCCTGCCAGGGGTCCGACTTCTTTTTTCTTTAAAACAAGGAATTGGATAGGAAGATTTTTAAAGTCCTGTCCAAATACTATGTTCTGTGATTTTGTCAGTGATTTCTTAATGTTGACTCAACAAGTACTGAGTCTATTATATGCATCTTTGTTTTCTCATAGAGATTGAGACTTAAAAATCTCTTGAAGAAATGGCTCCAGTGAAAACAAGGGAATCTTTACATGCTTCCCATTGTTCTTAAAACGTATAGGTGGGAAAACCCAGGGGAAGTATAATAGAATGGTGTTCGTGTTCTTTTTTTTCCCCTTTTACATACCAGTACTTGACTCAGGATGAGAAAGTCAATGGTGGAATCAAAATGGCCTTCAAAATAACATATACTGTACTTAGATTCTTTCTGATTTATCTTTTAGGCAGAAATATGTATTTGACAATTTCAATAACCAAATAATTGATATTATTGGAATACTGTACAGAAAATCTATCATCATAAAGGCCCTGTGAGATTGTAGGATCTGCAGAGCTGTGGGGGGGCCGGGCATGTTGGGCATGTCATGGAAAGTACCGCATGCCTGACAAAGTGTAGACTTTTAAAATTTTTAATATAAATTATTTTATCCCTTCACCCACCCTCCCCTTTGGCAGCCATCGGGTTATTTTATATATCTATAGGTCTGTTTCTGTTTTGTTTATTTGTTTTGGTTTTTTAGATTCCACATATAAGTTAAAATGATACAGTATTTGTCTTTTTCTTTTTGATTTATTTTACTTAGCATAATACCCTCTAGGCCCATCCATGTTGTCATAAATGACACGCTTTCATTCTGCTTTATTGCTGAGTAATTTTTCATTGTGTGTATTATACAGGGGTGGGCAAAATTAGGTTTCTAGTTATAAGTATGTGAATGAAAGTTTATTCTTGTATCATTATTTATTAATTATTATAAATCTACTTAATTACTGTAAACCTACTTTTGTCCACCCCTATTAAATCACCTCTTATTATTCATTCATCAGTTGATGGACAGCTACATTGCTTCTATATTTTGGTTGTTACTAGTAATGCTGCAATGAACCTAGGGATGCAAGAATCTTTTCAAATTAGTGTTTTCATTTTCTTTGGGTAAGTACCCATCAGTGGAATTGCTGGGTCATATGGCAAGTCTGTTTTTAATTAGTTGAGGAATCTCCATACTGTTTTCTGTAGTGGCTGCACTAATTTACAATCCTACCCACAGTGTATGAGGGTTCCCTTTCTCCACATCCCTGCCAACTCTTGATGTTTGTTGATTTATTCATAATAGCCATTCTGACAGGTGCGACATGATATCTCATTGTGGTTTTTATTTACATGTCCTGATACTAGTGATGTTGAGCATCTTTTCATATGTCTGTCGGTCATCTGTATGTTCTCTTTGGAGAAATGTCTATTCAAGTCCTCTGCCCATTTTTAATCGGATTATTTGAAGGTTTTTGTTTGTTCTGGTGTTAAGCTGTATGAACTCTATATATTTTTAATATTAACTCCTCATTGGATGTATCTTTGGTGAATATCCCTCCCATTCACTAGGTTGTCTTTTGATGATTTCCTTCACTGTGTAGAAACTTTTTAGTTTGATGCAGACTTATTTCTTTTTTTCTTTGTTTTCCTTGCTCAGCAGACACAGCTAAAAAGTTATTGTGAAGAGTGATGTCAAAGAGTTTATTGCCTATGTTTTCTTCTGAGTGTTTGGTGATTTCAGGTCTCACATTTAAGTCTTTAATTCATTCTGAGTTTATTTTTGCATATGGTCTAAGAAAGTGGTCTAATTTCATTTCCTTCATGAATCTGTCCAGTTTTCCCAACACCACTTGTTGAGGAGACTGTCTTTGCCCCATTATATATCCTTGCCTCCAGGAATTGACCAGTTTCTTATGTTTGTCAAAGTGTCATTTTAAAAAGTAAAATATGACCCATTCAAATATTAAGTTAACATGTATCAAGTCTTTTATTTATTAATTACTAAGGGAATAAATAAAATAGTAAGCCTAGTTTACAGAGCATTTGAGCTGTGTATTCATAGACAATTTTATAAAGGAATTTTAGAATAATGTTGCTAGGTTAGTTACAGACTGGTTAATGTCCTATAGACCAATAAACACTGACCTTTGGAATTTTGTGTTCTGACAAATTATTTACAACTCCACCGGACAAAATCTATAAATTCACATGTTACTTTTGTTAACCTGGGATATTTTAGTCAATGAAAATAGAATAATTGAGCAAGTACCTTCCTCTAAGTAATTAAATAACCTCTGAGTGAGTTATTTAATATGGGTCTGTGTCCCCCACATCATATTGAAAGCACGTGCTGTCTACCTTTTGGCCTTATATCCAAGTTTTGGACAGCCTTGTTTCAACAGCCTTTCAGGATTCATTTGTTTTATCTATGAAATTATCTATCTTCCCCTCATATTTCCTACTACATGAAAGATGTAAATTTATGAAATGTTGGTCTCTCTATTGTAATATCACTAGTGGATTAAATATGTTCCCTTTTCCCCAGTAAAGTGCAGTGAAGCACAGAACACAGTGTACAGTGAAACCTGACAAAAGATTAAATTGGCAGAATATGAGGTTTTTGTATTTTTTAATGTGTTATGGAGGGTTTCTAATAATGTCAGTCAAATGTTCCTAGTTTAATATGCATATTTCTAGGACTATTAATATTCAGCACATCATGTCTCAGATTAATGCAGTATTTAATCTCCAATAAGAAATTGTTAGTTTTCTTTCCCTTAGCTTTGTTTTTCTTGAATTTTATTTAGCAGACTTTTAAAATAGAGTAAATGGTAGTTAAATATAAAAGGTTAACATTTTCCAAAAGGATATCCAGGTCTGTTTAGTGGGTTTATGGCTCCATTTTAAAAGTTAATTTTGTTTTTGTTTTAAAATAGACTTTCTATTTTTGAATAATTAGAAGAAAATATTTTATATATCTTTAGAGAGGTGGGAAGAGAGGAAGAAAGAGAGGGAGAGAAACATCGATGTGTGAGGGATACATTAATCGATTGCCTTTCACATGCCCCCAACCAAGGACCCAGCCCACAACCCAGGCATGTGCCCTGATGGGCATCAAACCAGCAACCCTTTGGTTCATAGGCTGGTGCTCAATCCACTGAGCCACACCAACCAGGGCTATTTTTGAATAATTTTTAAATACAGAAAAGTTACAAAGATAGTGAAAACTTTTTATTATACCTCTTACCCAGGTTCTCATAGGTAACATCTTACATTACTATGGTACATTTGTTACAACTAAGAACCCAGTGTTAGTACATTACCATTAACTAATTGGGATTTCACCAGTTTCCCATCAGTGCCTTTTTCCAGGATCCAATTCAGGATCCATTCACCACATTACATTTAGTTGTAATGTAACTCTCTTCTAGTCTGTAACAGTTTTTTAGTCTTCCCTTGTTTCTTGTGACTTGCAAAATATGTCCCAGTCTGGATTTGTTTTTCTCATGATCAGACTGGAGTTATGTGAATTTGGGGGAAGAACACCACAGAGGCAAAATGTTCTCCTCACATCATATCAGGGGGTGCATGATATCCATATGGTGATACGAAGTTTGATCATTTGGATAAGGTGGTATTCGCCAAATTTCTCCATTGAAAATGTATTTTTTTGTCCTTTTCTCTGCTCTATTCTCTGGAAGTAAGTCACTAAGCCTAGTCCATTCTCAGTGGAAGTTGGAATAAGGACTGGAAAGTGGGAGATGGAATTAAACACCACCTCCAAGGAGTGGGGGTATTCAGAATTCTTCCGTAAGGAAGGTTTATCGTCTCTTTACCTTTGTATGTTTGTTTATGTAATCATTTATGTCAGGATGGATTTATATATATTTATTTTATGGTTTGGGTTATACTTCAATTCTATGTTACTTATTTTGTTGCTCGAACTGTTCTAGTTGTATAGCCATGGGGAACTCTTTCAGGTTGACTCTTACACCCCTCTGACCTGCTCCTGTCCTTTTGGTTTTTTCCTTATTCTCTGGTACTGTAAGACACCCCAGACTGATTGATTGATTCATACATTTGTTTTGTTATGATTAATGAACCTACACTGACACGTTATCATCATTAAAAGTCCATAGTTTACATTTGGGTTCACCCTTGGTATTGTATATCCTATAGGTTTAGACAAATGTATAATGACACATATCCATCATTATAGTATTGTATAGAATAGTTTTATGGTTCTAAAAGCACTCTGTGTTCCTCTTTTTCATCCTTCCCTCCCTCCTAACTCCTGGTAACCACTAATCT